TTTCGGTTGCCCACAATGTGTCACTTAATTTCCTTTGCAAACTCATAAATAGTCATATTTATGCACGTAGTACATACTTACATATTTACATGCATGCCTGCATATATTTGTTTATTTAATAATTGGCCAATTTTCAGCAAAACATGCCGAGTCAACACTTAACAATGACCCACATTTAAATAACAATGATGATAGTAGTGTGATAGCGCATAGAGTATAATTAATAAAAACAAAAGTGAACAAAAAAAAACGACAACAAACAAAAACAGAGACCCATACACGCACACACTTACAAAAACCATGTAGTACTTCTGTGTGTTGATATCTGTACATGGGCATAAACATATTTAACACTTCACTGAAACCGCAACAACAACATCAACAACAAATGTGATAATATAAACAATAGAGTACTTTTGAAGATGTGACGGCAATTGCATGGTAACCAAATCCGGAGACAAAATGTATTTTGATATTTACCTTTGTACTTGAGATATATTTTAGAGGCAATTAGCGGAATATGGATTTTTGCCACAAGACGTTTTTTTGTGAGCAAAAATTATTTCATAGACTTATGAACTGAGGGGAAAAGAGGGAAGGGTAAGAAAACTGTACTATTTTCTAAGGAGAGATTATCGGAACTAAAATATTAAGAATTAGTTTTAACATGGAAGCTCTAAAGCTATCACCGACTTTATTTTGCAGGAGAAAATTGGCTATCCTTAAAAAATCCATGTTTATGGCCATGAGGTATGGTTCTTGAAATAATATTCTTTATAAATAGATATAATAGAACATATATTTCTTAAAACAACCACCTTTATGGCTATTATGGTTTTAATATTTTTTATAAAATCATCGTTTATGTCCATGAGGTTTTTTGGAAAAACATTTTTTAAAAAATCCACGTTTATGGCCATGAGGTTTTTTGGAAAAACATTTTTTAAAAAATCTACGTTTATGGCTATGAGGGTTCGTAATAAAATATTTTTTAAAAAATCCGCGTTTATGGCTATAAATTCTCATGAAAAAATATTACTTAAAAATCCAAGTTTATGGCTATCAGGGTTTTTGGAAAAAATATTTTAAGAAAATCCAGTTTTTTTTAAAGTTCATGTTTACGGCTATGATAGGTTTTGAAAAAAATATTATTTTGAAAAAATCCACGTTTATGGCTATGAGAGTTCCTGAAAAAATATTATTTTGAAAAAAATCCACGTTTATGGCTATGAGGTTTTTCGGAAAAATAGTTTTTTAAAAATCCACGTTTATGGCTATGAGGTTTTTCGGAAAAATAGTCTTTTAAAAATCCACGTTTATGGCTTTGGGGTTTTTTGGAAAAATACTTTTTAAAAATCCACGTTTATGGCTTTGGGGTTTTTTGGAAAAATACTTTTTAAAAATCCACGTTTATGGCTATGAGGTTTGTTGGAAAAATATTTTTTAAAAAATCCACGTTTATGGCCATGAGGTTTTTTGGAAAAACATTTTTTAAAAAATCCACGTTTATGGCCATGAGGTTTTTTGGAAAAACATTTTTTAAAAAATCTACGTTTATGGCTATGAAGTTTTTTGGAAAAATATTTTTTAAAAAATCCACGTTTATGGCTATGAAGTTTTTTGGAAAAATATTTTTTAAAAAATCCACGTATATGGCTATGAGATTCTTGAAAAATATTTTTAAAAAATCCACGTTTACAGCTATGAGATTCTTGAAAAATATTTTTAAAAAATCCACGTTTACAGCTATGAGATTCTTGAAAAATATTTTTAAAAAATCCACGTTTACAGCTATGAGATTCTTGAAAAATATTTTTAAAAATCCACGTTTACAGCTATGAGATTCTTGAAAAATATTTTTAAAAAATCCACGTTTACAGCTATGAGATTCTTGAAAAATATTTTTAAAAAATCCACGTTTACAGCTATGAGATTCTTGAAAAATATTTTTAAAAAATCCACGTTTACAGCTATGAGATTCTTGAAAAATATTTTTAAAAAATCCACGTTTACAGCTATGAGATTCTTGAAAAATATTTTTAAAAAATCCACGTTTACAGCTATGAGATTCTTGAAAAATATTTTTAAAAAATCCACGTTTACAGCTATGAGATTCTTGAAAAATATTTTTAAAAAATCCACGTTTACAGCTATGAGATTCTTGAAAAATATTTTTAAAAAATCCACGTTTACAGCTATGAGATTCTTGAAAAATATTTTTAAAAAATCCACGTTTACAGCTATGAGATTCTTGAAAAATATTTTTAAAAAATCCACGTTTACAGCTATGAGATTCTTGAAAAATATTTTTAAAAAATCCACGTTTACAGCTATGAGATTCTTGAAAAATATTTTTAAAAAATCCACGTTTACAGCTATGAGATTCTTGAAAAATATTTTTAAAAAATCCACGTTTACAGCTATGAGATTCTTGAAAAATATTTTTAAAAAATCCACGTTTACAGCTATGAGATTCTTGAAAAATATTTTTAAAAAATCCACGTTTACAGCTATGAGATTCTTGAAAAATATTTTTAAAAAATCCACGTTTACAGCTATGAGATTCTTGAAAAATATTTTTAAAAAATCCACGTTTACAGCTATGAGATTCTTGAAAAATATTTTTAAAAAATCCACGTTTACAGCTATGAGATTCTTGAAAAATATTTTTAAAAAATCCACGTTTACAGCTATGAGATTCTTGAAAAATATTTTTAAAAAATCCACGTTTACAGCTATGAGATTCTTGAAAAATATTTTTAAAAAATCCACGTTTACAGCTATGAGATTCTTGAAAAATATTTTTAAAAATCCACGTTTACAGCTATGAGATTCTTGAAAAATATTTTTAAAAAATCCACGTTTACAGCTATGAGATTCTTGAAAAATATTTTTAAAAAATCCACGTTTACAGCTATGAGATTCTTGAAAAATATTTTTAAAAAATCCACGTTTACAGCTATGAGATTCTTGAAAAATATTTTTAAAAATTCCACGTTTACAGCTATGAGATTCTTGAAAAATATTTTTAAAAAATCCACGTTTACAGCTATGAGATTCTTGAAAAATATTTTTAAAAAATCCACGTTTACAGCTATGAGATTCTTGAAAAATATTTTTTAAAAAATCCACGTTTACAGCTATGAGGGTTCTTGAAAAAATCCACGTGTATGGCTATGAGAGTTCTTGAAAAATATTTTTAAGAAATCCACGTGTATGGCTATGAGAGTTCTTGAAAAATATTTTTAAGAAATCCACGTTTATGGCTATGAGAGTTCTTGAAAAATATTTTTAAAAAATCCACGTTTGCAGCTATGAGAGTTCTTGAAAAAATCCACGTTTATGGCAACGAGGGTTTTTGGAAAAATATTTTTTAAAAAATTCCGCGATTATGGCTATGAGAGTTCTTGAAAAAATATTCTTTAAAAAATTCAAGAGGGTTCTTAAAAAAATATTTCTCAAAAAATCAAGGTTTTGGGACTCTCAGATCCATACAATAATAAATGTTGATTTTACTCCCTTGGAAAAATTTTTTTTAAATGATCCACATGTATGGCTATGAGATTTCTCGACCAAAATGTTCCTTAAAAAAATACATATTTATGCCCTTAAAAATATTTTTAAAATATTCCCTGAATGTCCTTGAACCAATACTTTACTTTACTTTGTACCCTCAGCTATCGCAACAGAGGGTAGATATTATTTGATACGGCCAAAACGTGTCGCATCGAAATAACGGTCTTAGATCCTAGGTTTCTTTGTACCCGTTTCAGGACATTTAGAGTCGATTTAGAGATGCACGTCCGTCCATATGTCTGAATGGCTGGTGCGTACGATAACTCTCGAAGGGAGTGTACGATTTGGTCAAAACTTTATACATCGCAAAAATATTACCAAACTTAGATTAAGTTCGGAGATGGGCAATATCGGTCCACTACTTCTGTTACACCCCACAAAATGTCGAAATCTTTAAAGAAAATATTTCATTGCTAAGTCAGGTGAGAAAATAGACAATATCGGTTTTCTCCATCAAGTACCTCTCCCACAAAAGGGTCAAAAGTCTGAGTAGTTATAACTCTTATTAAATGAGATGTATTTTTATTAAACCGACGTCTGGTGTAAAGGTGGAATACATCGGTTAACTTCTTCCGGTCCGGTCAAAATTTTGGATATCCATAAAGGTCATAAAACGCGAAATTAACATCCGATTCAAATCAGACATGGCATATCTCAATATTTCCATCAACGCAACATCTGTTATAAAGATGGTGGAGATTAGACCATTCCTTCGGGTACCTCCCACACAAAAGGTCAAAGTTTCGAATAACCAAAACGATTATAATATCCGAAATAAGCATTCGGTTCTCTACATACTTCACACATCCCATTATTTCTAATAACACAAGATCTGTTGTTAAAATGGAATATATCGGCGCACCCCTTCTTGTACTTCCCGCACATCGGGTCAACATTTTGAATAACCATGAAGCTCATAAAATGTAAATGGAATCGAATGATTTCATTCAGACTTGCAACATCTCAATATTTCCATCAGCAAGATATCTGCTACAAAGATTATTTCTACTAAGGAATGATCTGCTGTGAAGATGGGATATTTCGGCCCACTCCTTCTGGTACCTCACCCACAAAGGGTCGCGTAGAACAACTGAAATATTGTATTCTTTCTTATAAGGTTTATATTCATTCATTAAAGTCATTCCAATAAAAATCCTCATGCATTTCACCACATGGATATCGGAATGCTGACTTTTAATTGCAATTGTCACACATTGCGCTGCTACCTTTGCATAAGCTACCTACATAACAATATACCTTCATAATTCTCAAAAGACGGAAAACATTTCCCAAGAAACACACACACACAGACACACGGCAAAGACAATGGCGAAGAATTACAAACGTCATACACGCCAACTACATTAATGACCCAGACACACAATATGCCATAACACCGAAACACACTCACACATCATACTTACCGCATTGTTTTCCTCATCTTCGTCGTCGTCTTCTTCGGTGTCAGAGTTATCTTTGGCTTTCTTACGCCATATTACAACGCTGACATGATTACTGCTTTCGTTCAGCCAATGATTTTTTAAGAGCGCTGCAATCTCGGAGATTTTCAGGCCCAGAACATCGTTGCCGTTTAGCTCGAGCAGACAATCGCCGATGCGTAGACCAGCCTTGTATGAGTTCGAATCCTTTTGAATGCTGCTCACCCACGGATAGGGATCCCAGGGTGCCCGACTCAGATGAAGGCCCAGCGAACCGTTTGTGCAGGTGTAAATTTTAAATGATTTCAACATTTTGTCTGACTTTTTGTTGTTGTTGTTGTTATTGTATGATTTCTGTCAATTCTTTGTTATTACTATTTTTTTCAACTGAAATAAAAAGAAGAAAAAAAAAAACAAACGATTAAAAATCTTTTTTTTTTTTTGTTTTATTTACTTTTTTTTGTTAAGTAGTTGTGTTGTTATTTTTGTATTGAAATTTTCAAGGCCTCACGTACTATGTGACGAGCTTATGCGGGTGTAAACATAGGCCAGTAGCAACAGACAAAAACAAAGGTTTTTTTGTTTTTCTTTCTTCAAGTTTTATTGACTTTTGCAAAAATTCGCGCCAAACAAAATCATTACGACAGAAGCCAAGTTAAAGGAAAAAAAAACTAAAAAAAAGTTTCTTGGCTCTGTGTACTACACAGCCGGTATACAGTGAGGTCAACAAGTGAACTCATGTTTGGAATACCCATAAATAATAATTTTCTTAATATTTATTTTCACAGGTAGTTCGAAACATTTTTGTTGTAATTCATATTATTTCATTTTGTAATTTGAGACTTCGATATGTAATTCGAAGCATCTTAATTGCAATTAAAATACATTTTTATACCCTCCACCATAGTATGGAGGGTATATTAAGTTTGTCATTCCGTTTGTAACACCTCGACAAATACATTTTAGACCCCACTAAGTATCCGTCCGTCTATCCGTCTGTCTGTTTGTGGAAATCTATCTTTCGAACGAAATGAAGTAGGTTAATAAAATTTTACTCAAATGTGTATTATGTTTACAGGACTTTTGCTATTGAAAATGTGCCATGTAGGTACACGTCTTCGTATAGCTCTCATATAACGGTACCTCCCGATATACGGTATTTTGATGAATTTAGCGACATTATTTGTCGGAATTGTTTCAAAATTATTATTTAAAGTTCGTAATAGATACTACAGCCTAAAACACAAAATGGGTCATGTAGGTCCACGTTTTCGTATAGCCCCCAAATAACGGTACCTACCGATATACGACATTTTTATGATTTTAGTGACATAATTTACCGGAATTGTTTAAAATTTGGTATTTACAGTTCGTAACAAATACTACAGCATAAAACAGAAAATGGGCCATGTGGATCCACGTCTTCGTATAGGCCCCATATAACTGTACTCCTCGATATTGGGTATTGGATATTGATGATTTTAGCGACATTATTTAATGGAACCATTTCAAATTTGGTATTTGATTTTCATAATGAATACCAAAGCCTATGACAGAACATTGTCTATGCAGGTACACCTCTTCGTATAGCCCCCATATAACGGTACCTCCCTATATTCGGTGTTTTGATGATTTTAGCGACATTATTTACCGGAATTGTTTCAAATTTCGCATTTGAAATTCGTAATGGATACTACAGCCTATGACAGAAAATTGTCTGTGCAGGTCCACGTTTTATAACACCCATGGTACCTCCCTATATTCGGTAATTTGATGATTTTAGCTACATTATAAACAGATTTTTTGTCAAGTCTCGCATTTGAATATTGTAATAGCTGGTGACAAAAGTTGCCTATACAGGTCCACGTCGTCGTATAAACCCTAATATACGTCTACATTTGGTATTTTTAAGATTTTAACAGAATTTTCAACGGATTTTCTTTTGAAAATTGTTAAATATGTACCAAATGGTGGAGGGCATTCAATAATTAAATCCTAGAAAACTCAATATAAAATTTTAGAGTTACATACAGGGTTAGGTTCAGAGTTACAAACTGCAACAAAGTCAAAAGCCATAATTTTTACAATTTTTTAAAATTTTATTGAATGAAAGCAAAAAATGTCGGAAATAGTATAAAATTTTAGAATAAGTTTAGATTTTTCGAATTGGTCACCTTTGGCACGAATTATGGCCATCAATCGCTCATTGAAACCGTCACACGCTGCCACAATGTTTGCTCTGCGGTATTTCGGCCCATTCCCGGCGAAGCGCTTGAGAGATTTTTCGAATTGGTCACCTTTGGCACGAATTATGGCCATCAAACGTCCATTGAAACCGTCACACGCTGCCACAATGTTGCTCTGCGGTATTTTGGCCCATTCCCGGCGAAGCGCTTGCTTCGACACTTCGTTATTTTTAGTGCCAACCTTGCTTTCCAAAATACTCCAGACACAATAGTCCAATGGATTGGTACCCAGAGATTTTGGTGACCATTCTGCGCTGGAAATGAAGCGAGGAACCTCTTTTTGTAACCATTCTTGGGTGGAGCGTGCTGGATGCGATGACGGTCGATTAATACGAGCGGGGAGCGACCAACGGCTGTTATGGCGGTCCACGCCATCACCATGGCCAGCTCTTGAGTTCTGGTGGCCAACCGAAGTTGCACATTTTCAGCTGACCTCTTTGGCAAGTAAACACGATCATTTTGCTGGACAACGAACGTTTTCTCATCGGGGACGGTCGAATGGAATATTGCGACATGTTCAGCTCACGAGCCATTTTTCGGCCACAGTGATGCGGGTTTCGATCAAGTCGCTGCTTTACTTTTCGAACCATTTCTGCTTATGTTGCTGTTTTCTTCCGTCCATTGCCTTGACGTCGGGCTACACTACCAGTAACACGGTAACAAGCGATGGTACGAGACACAATAGATTTATATACATTGCTGGAGTGCTCTAACGATAGCCACTTGTGGTTTTCCAGCCAAATATAAAGAAATCACACAATATAATGAGCTGTCACTGAGATAATTTTAACAGCTGTCGAACGAGTGGCATAGAAATGACAGCAGTCTGAAGTTGATTGCAGTTTTTTCATCTCACCCTGTAAAGGACGATTTTCACAATCACCGCCAAATCTCTAAGACACAGATACCATCAGTAATCTAATCAATAATCAATTTTATCTCATCCAAATATCAAATAAAGAATATAAAATTTTGTACATTTCCAAGACTACCTCTTTATCAAAATCCTACCATCAACCAAGACCTCAATAGAAAATTTCAAAATTCAAGCATCATCCATTCATCCTAAACCAAACTGTTCCGAATTTACTTAATGGTAATAAATGACAGTTCGCAAACTTAGTTCACATTTCCAAAACCACCCTTATATGTCCAACTTATTATCCAACATTGATTCTCATACCAAAGTTCAATTTTTTAGCTCTAATGGTACAATTTTCAAAGTTTCGTAACATATCAGAACTTTTTTAACCTTAAAGTTCGAATTTCCATACAAAACCTTTGCTACATCTATTCCGGACTCCATTAGTGGCTCCCATTCCCAATTTCAGAATTCTAGATCATTCCGTATGTCAATACAAAGTATTAAATTTTTCGTGCATTTTAGTACTTTTCGTGTCTTTTCAATACGAATTTCCAACAACGCCACATGCCTTCGCACCAAAAAACTAGGAAATTTTTGGAGACTGTAATATTTATTTTGGAAAATATAACTGTTTTATGTTTTTTATTAGGTAGGTGGGATTGTTTCCTCTATGAAACCTCTAAGTAAATCACCAAATGAATTATTTTATTATTTCTCGGTTCCAAAATTTAAGTAAAATTCCGTATATATCGGATTAGAATTTTTATGACTTGTACCACTCTTTGTCACCCACTGTAGTCCAAAATAAAACTTCGTAGTACTCTCTCTCGCCCACGCAACATACACGCATCTACCCGGACAATCTGCCATGCACGTACAACAGCAGTCAGATACCAGCCAACATTCACGGTGTTCAGTGATTTGTTTTAATCGCATATGACGTGTGTTTAATTACACAGTCGGTGCGTGTACGGTTTTCAAATTTTTCAAATCCTTCACCTAGAAAATGCGCTCAATTGGACAGACTCACCACCGCCACCATCAATACGTCAGCGGCATGTCAACTGTTCACATCAACAGAAGCAAACAGAAACTGAAACATCAATACAGGTGACCAAAAAAAAAAAAAAAAGAGAAGAGAGTTACAATAAGTCATGTCTTGGCAGCATGAAGCAAAATGCAATCAAAACCAAAACAAAACAGAAAATCGTCACTGACACGTTTACATTGATAAGACTGCCGAAAAAAGAACGTTGAAAACCAAACAAGAGAAAATCTGGTTGGAAATGTAAGACGGATAAAGAAAGTTTGGATCGATTGTAAATTCAATATATACTGGGTGAGATGAAAAAACTGCAAACAACTTCAGACTGCTATCATTTCTAAGCCACTCGTCCGACAGCTATTAAAATTATTCCAGTGATAGCTCATTATATTGTTTACAAGCGTACAAAAGCATTTTGGTGATTATTTTCCAGAAAAAAAGTTATTCGTTTTTGGAATTCAAGCGTGATAGTGCGATTTCTTTATATTTGGCTGGAAAACCACAAGTGGCTATTGTTAGAGCACTCCAGCATTTAAATGTGAATAAAACTTTTGTGTCTCATACCATCACTCGTTACCGTGGTATTGGTAGCGTAGCCCGGTGTTAAGGAAGTGGACGGAAGAAAACAGCAACATCAGCAGAAATGGTTCGAAAAGTAAAGAAGCGACTTGATCGAAACCCGCGTCACAGTGGCCGAAAAATGGCTCGTGAGCTGAACATATCGCAATATTCCATTCGGCAAATATTGAAAAATGAGCTCGGGGTAAAGCCATTGAAAATTCAAAAAAGTCCAAAAACTTACACCGCAACAGTAAGAAAATAGATTCAGAAGAGCCAAAGAGTTGCTTCGCTTGGCCGAATGTGGTGAACTGCCGAATTTGGTTTTCTCCAAAGAGAAAACATTCGTTGCCCAGCAGTTTGTAAACAAACAAAATGATCGTGTTTACTTGCCAAAGAGGTTAGCTGAAAATGTGCACCTTTGGTTGGCCACCAGAATTCAAGTGCCGGCCATGGTGATGGTGTGGGCCGTCATAACAGCCGATGGTCGCTCTCCGCTAGTATTAATCGACCATGGCATCAGAATAAATGCCGAATATTATCGCGAAAATATTCTGTAGGGTGTATTAAAGCCTCGGGCACGACAACATTTTGGCCTGCATTTGGTATTGGGAAATAAGATTTGTATTGGGTTGTGTGATACAGGTTGTTACAAATATTTGAA